AGTATGTCAGGAGTCAAGAATGGTGCTGAACATTGTGCAATCATCAGCAAACATCCCCACTTCTGACCTTATGATGGAGAGAAGGTTATTGATGAAGCAGCTGAAGATGGTTGGGCCTAGGACACAACTCTTAGGAACTCCTGCAGAGATGTCCTGGAGCTGAGACGACTGACCTCCAACAATTACAACTATCTTCTTACGTGCCAGATATGATTCCAAACAGCCCAGACTTTGCCTCCTGATTCTCTTTCATTCCAATTTTGCTAGGGCTCCTTAATGCCACACTCAGTCAAATGTGATGTCAAGGCCTGTCAGTCTCACCTCAACTCTGGAATTCAGCTCTTTTGTCCATGTTTGAACCAAGGCTGTGATGAGGTCAGGTCGTTTGGTAGCTTCACCAGCTTGACACTTCATTTTTAGGTATGCCTGGTGCTGCTCCTGGCATGTCCTCCTGCACTCTCCACTGAACCAGGGTTGATCCCCTGGCTTGATGGTAATGGTTGAGTGGGGAATATGCTGGGATGTGAGATTGCAAATTGTGCTGGAGTACAATTCTGCTGCTGTTGACAGCCCAAGCGCCTCACTGTTGCCCAGTCTTGAGTTGCCAGATCTGTTTGAAGTCTGTGCCACTTAGCACGGTGATAGCACGGACAACATATGGAGGGTATTCTCAATGTGAATGTCATCTCTAAAAGGACGGTGTGGTGGTCACTTTTACCTATACTGTCACGGACAGATGCGTTTGCAGCTAGCAGATTGGTAAGGATGTGGTCAAGTAAATTTTCCCTCACCACCTGTTGCAGACCCACTCTAGCTACTATATCCTTTAGGACCCGACCAACTTGATTAGTAGTAGTGCTGCCGAGCCACTCTGTGTGGTGATCATTGCAATCCCCACTCACAATACATCTTGTCTCCTGGCCACATTCATGCTTCTTCCAAGTGTTATTCAACATGGAGGAGTACTGATTCATACGCTGAGGCAGGACAGTACATGGTAATCAGCAGGAGTTTCCTTGCCCATGTTTAACCTGTAGCCATGAGAATTCATGGTGTCTGGAGTCAATATTGAGGACTCCGAGGGCAACTCCCACCCGACTGTATCCTACTGTGCCGCCCCCTCTGCTAGGCCTGTTCTGCCAGTGGGACAGGACATATCCAGGGATGGTGATAGTGATGTCTGGGATATTGTCTATAAGGTGCGATTCTGTGCGTATGACTGTCAGGCTATTGCTTGACTAGTCTTTGAGACAGCTCTCCCAATTTTGAGGCCCCAGATGTTAGTAAGAAGGACTTGACAGGGCCAACAGGGCTGTTTCTACAGTTGTCATGTCCAGTGCCTAGGTTGATGCCAGGTAGTCTATTCATTTTCATTTCTTTGTTGAGACTTCAAAGCAATTGGTACAATTGAGTTGCTTGCTTAGCTATTTCCGAGGGCAGTTCAGAGTCAACCACATTGCTGTGGATCAGGAGTCCCATGTAGGTTAGTCCAGGTGAGGGGGTGGCAGATTTCCTTCCCTAAAGGACATCAGTGAGCCAGATGGGTTTTTCATGACAATCGGCAAAGGTTTTGTGGTCATCAGTTGATTCTTAATTGCAGATTTTTTTGTAATGAGTTGAAATTCCATGAGCTGCAGTGATGGGATTTGAACCCTGGTCCCCAGAACATTAGCCGAGTTTTTGGATTAATAATCTAGTGATAATACCACTGGGCCATTGCTTCCCCTTAATTGGTATCAACACTCAGTCACACAAATAGTCATTTGGTGGCACAGAATGAGTATTGCAGAGAAGAAAAACATTCTTTGGTGAAGCTTTTTGTCTTGTACTCAATAGAACATCTCACAATTAACAACAATTCTACTATCTGAAAGGGAAGTGCAAGTTGATTGACAAGTGGATTCTGTTTGGTAGAGGTGTTGCCATGGAGAATGCACCAGTTATTGATGACTGACAGCTAGCAGCTAAGCTTGCAACAATTTGACTGCCAATCTTTTCTTTCAGTAGTGAGGTAGATTAGAAGAATGGTGCCTTGAAAATAGCTAGTACTCCTGGGCAATCTTGTTCCTTGAGTAAAAAGCTGCATATTGCACTCGTGACGCATTACAATGAGGCCACAGGGCAGCAAGTTGTAATTGAACAACATTTTAGGCTCTTTAAGCTGCTTAAATGATTCCCGGTGGAGAGAAAAGGTTGATGTTTCAATATGTTCCGAAACACGTTGGAAAAATTGTTAGGTTTCACTGCACATTGCAAGAAATTGAGACTCCCCTTCCTGTCCAACCCTGTCACAAGAAAGCATAAGCGCAGAAAGAGATATGTAAAATGTGCTGCAGAAAAAATGCTTAGGAAACTCAGCCGGTCTGGCACTACCTGGAGAGAAAATCAGGGTTATCATTTCAAGTCCAATAATTTCTCTTCTTCTTTAGCCTCTTCTTCTTTAGCTTCTTTATCTATCTCTGTCCACAGATGCTGCCCAATCTGCTGAGTTTCACCAGCACTTTGTTTTTACTTCAGATCCCCGCAATCTGAAGTACTTTGAATAAAAACAAATGCAAATAGTTGTTTGGTAGCACAGAACTTGAGTTTTGCAAAAAAAGACATCCTACTGAAGTTTATCAGCTTGTGCTGATCAGGACAGAATCACAAGAATACCAAATTTCAAAGGAATCAACAATTCAATTCAAAATGAGAAGACAATATTCATTAATTCAAGCATGTTTCACCATATTAGGATTTTACCATCAACATCCATTAAAAAAACTGTTAGTCACTAAAACAGAGAAAATATTGAGATTCTATACTCATGAAATTTCCATGTTTTATAATGAATATACCTTTAAACATATCCTTTTACCATACTTGATTTTCATATTTTATGAATAAGTACAATTCCATTCTAAACCAGCGACGAGACAATGCTCAGTTTATTACCATAGTTTCACATTGTTACTGCAAACAATATTCATCTCTCTCCCTGTTGAGTTATCACCATAAATATGTTAACTACTTCTAACGTTGTGTAAAGCACTTTTTTTTCTGATTCTACAACTCTGAAACCACAGTACTTTGTTATAAGCATTCCATAAAATACAATGAATTAGCTTCTCACTGCGAAATATATCTTCCAATCTTAAAATGCACACAATCTTGAATTTATTAATCATGTTATAAATCCCCAATTCTCCCCTTAACCTTCAGTGCCAAAAGCAAAACATTGTTTTGCCACTTTTAAATGATTTTTCAGAGAAAACAGCTACTGTTGGAAGATTTCTCCCAAGTTTTCATTGATGAAAGTGGATGGTAAACGTGGATGCTAAATTTTCATCGGGACCAGGAGTTTGCCTGTAATGGGAGTCACCGTATCGAGATTTCTGTTTGAACTTGGAAGTTCCTGTGTGCATTAATAATTTATGCTTTCTTTTTTGCCTCAGGCTTTTGCCAAAAGCCAAGTCTGATGAAGAACTGGATCTCTGCAGCAGATTATTTTGACTTGTCGGTGAACTTGGAAATCCTTAATGATCTGTTGTCCTTTAAAAGATGTACGTTTACATCATGTCCACATAATGGAAAGGTTTCCACTGTACTTACTGTGCAATTCAAGGCAAGATCTAACAGGTGGCACCGAATTTATCATGTGTTCCATGGCAGACATTTGAGAGACATGTTCCATTAAAGTGGACAAAAGACAGGCGATAAGACTTTACCACAGTACTCTAATGGAAGGAAGTTAGCCACACATAAATCTTCAACATGTAGAAACCTCCCTTTGATACAGGAGTTCTCACTCTGTTTTGTTGCAGACTGTATATTCATTCAGCAAGTGACACACATACTCCCCTTCCTCATGAAATATTTTAATGTAATATTATACAATGTCTCCCTTTCTGAACAGTCACATCTCCAAAGAAATATATCTGTGTTGCTGTATGAACAGAAGTAAAGCCTGATGTTGTCAAGATCTATACAAAGCAGTATCCTAATTCTTAGCATAAAGAAAAATGATAATTTGATTTCACAGTCGTGTATTCTGCCTTATCACTGATTATGTGCTATATGTCCTTTGAGTGCTGAAATTGTGTTTACATTCACTGGTGATAAATAGTGCCGTCAATATACCGTAAATTGTCATTATGACATGTACTAGCAGTTCATATAGGATTTCAAGCCTTAGTATTATGCATCCCTTCCACAGATTCGATCAAAATGCTATTCAAGTTAGTTTTCTTGAAGAGGGTAAATAGTGTCACTTGGAGGCATCTTCCAAAACTCTCTTTTAATTCAAGAGTTACTGAGGCCTAACTTGTGTAATGCATACTGTTATTTGTGTTGAGTAGTAATAGTGACACCATGGACAATTTTCATATTCAGTTCAGTTTGTATTATTGGACACAGGTGAACAACATTACAGCTTAGTTATAAATAATTCTTAAGTAACTAAGAAAATATATATTTTATGATGATCATTGTTTTGACTTATTCCTTTGTATTTTTTCTGTTTACCTTACTGTCGGTACACTCTGAGATGAAAATAAGCTCATGCTATAACCTGAATGACTCTTATGGTTATTGTCTGACCTGGACTTGAACTGAAGGAATACTCTACCAGCTGGCATTGTTAGTTCCACTTTTTTGCAGCTGTAAATGGTCACCATAAAAAAAAATTCAATCCCCAAACACCGGAGAATTTTGTTTTTTACAGTCAAGTATGTATGGGTTCAGGCAACAGTGGGAAGTTAAATTCCCTGAAATTATCAGGAACCCAACTTCATCTGCCTGAAGCAAGGAAAGAACTCAGTTGGATCTCTCAGGTAAATAGTTAAGTTGCTTAAAAAAAAATAAGAATAATTTTAACTTTTAGTTTTGAGGATTTTATGAACAAGTTGCTGGTGTCCTGGTTTGTCAGAAACTTATCAGGGTGGCCAAGGCGACTGCACAAAGGGAAAAACTCCTTCTGACAAAGTGACAAACAGATCATTTACAATGAACAGTTCCTGTGACGGCCATATTCTCTCAGACAATACTATCATCTGGGATTGCCAACTTCTTAGAAGGAAATTTCCTTTTCTAGAACTTCATTAACCTTTGGTTGCAGTGCCCAGCTGTCAGTCTTCTTCAAGGACTGCTGCATATCTGTTGTATCCCTGGCATCTCTGATGGGGTGCAAAAGGAGCAAAGTTACTGTCAACAGCATGAGCAGGGTCAACACCTGAAGTTGCTTGCTCCTCAGCCACATCACATTAGACACGGCAAAGGTCATGGGCATCAAGCTTCATCTGGGGAGAGATGAGACCTCTCAACACAGTATGAATAGACAGAGAATCAGTTTCCTCAACATGAATGATCACGGTGCTTCAGTCTCTCAAGACAGATTATTGCAAACATCTGCAGTCTCCTGGGGCAAGACCTTCTTCTCTATGGTGCAGAAGGTTTGCATTGGCAGTGACTAATTGATGTGATTGTCATGACAGAACTGCCCCTCTATACCCTCCCCCAAAAAAACACAACTTCTGCCTCTCACCAAGTTTGGTCTTTTGTTAAAGATGACAGTTGGAAGGGTGTTAGCTTGGAAGAGGCAAGGACGTCATTTGTAGAGAGTGACTGTGAGGAATGGGTACGAGAAGGTAATAGGGCAATATATAGTGAAATTGTTTACTGCTCAGATGGGGATGTGACAAGTTGTCTGTATAGAGAGGTAATGTTATGTGTGCTTCATTGTCCTGAGGAATGCTGGCAACATCAAACTGCAGGGTTCTAAATGTATCTTGGAAGTTACCTGTCATTCTGCCCTGAGCTCCTGAGTCCTGGTGGCACACTGTTGCCAGGTTAGAGGGGCCACATATTTGCTGGTGACATTCACCTTCCACAATGCCTGCTTGTTTTGACAGGCTGAGGCTGGCCTCTTCTCCCTGTCCTTTGGAAAGGTCATGTTCCTGCAGCCCCTCAGATTTCAAAACAAGACTACTGGGGAAGAGTGTCAGATGCAGAAGACAGCATGCTCAGGTGGTCAGTGCAATTCTAAAGATGCTTCAGTCTCAAACATCCAAGAGCTGGTCAGCATTTGTAACCCATGCTGGGAAATCCATTTGTTCACAGAATAAACATGTTATCCCACACCCCCTATCTGTTTGGGGACCCTGGAGGTAGGATCTAATGCTGCGACTCTCGGCAAGAGCCTTGACTAAACCTACTCAGCATTCACTTTCCCAATCTGCAAATGTTTCTGCCATTTTGGCTGGAACTGTTGATAATACTCTTCCCTATAACCTTAAAAACTTTTTTTTCCAATATGTTCATTAGCTTCAATTAGTAATTATTGCTGCTTAGTGATTGTAATGTCGTACATACTGCAGTATAAATAAATGTAAGGTCAATAAATGAAGAAGGAGCAAATATTGTGTGCTTTCAGCTATGTTTTGGAAACAAACAATAATATGCTGAAAATATTAAGGAAAACTTGGAACAACAACATCAACATAATATGACTGTTATTATGTTTCTTATTGATCATGAAAACTAAATTAAATTTGCATTTACATAACACCTTATCGGGTCCTTAAGATGCCCCAAATCACTTTACATCCACATAAGTTACTTTTAATTACTTTTAATTACTTTTAATCATCATCACTCTTGTGATGCAGGAAATACCAACAGCGGATTTGAAAGACACTGCAATCATTCAAACAGATACATTCACCCCCATAAACTAGCACGCAGAAGATTGTCATACAAAGCTATTAAAATCTGAATGCTGTAACATTGAAAATGGTCATTTCTATAATCAAATGATAAAAAGAAAAGTAACCTTTTAAAATATAAATGGAAATCTACATTAAGTTTACTTTTGATGAGCAACTGGCACCCACATATGTAGCAAAACTACTTGGTTCACAACTATTCTTCATATCATCCAAATCAAGCATTTTCTGCTATGAAACAACATTTCTTTTCATAATATAAAAGTGACAACACAGTGCATGTTCTGCATGATGGTCAATCAGTTTCAGCATATCGTAAAAACAGATGACTGACTGATTAATCTGTTTTTAGTAGGGTCATCTAAAGAAAGAAAGAAAGATATCCAGGACAACTTTGCGCTTTTCTTCCAACATTTGCATCCAGCCAGAAGGCCTCTAGAACAAACATGTCATCTAAAGGACAGCAGCCCAGTGATGCAACAATCCCTTAAAATTATGTTAAAGTGCCAGTTTAAAATACATTCTCAAGTCCTAACTCAGAGATGAGAGTGCCACCAACTGAGCCAAACTAACACTTTACTGCATTGAAGATTCACACATTGAACATAAAACAGAGAACCAAGATGCAAGGGCTACTTCAATTAATCTTGAACTCTTGACACTCTACCAGAAACTTTCAGCTCTGACTCGTATGAGTTATTTCCTTTAAAGAAACTGGATACCTTCAGTAAGTTTTGATGCCTACCTAGATTGCTGGTCAGGTGGAAGTATTCCGATTAAAGAGAAGCACGAGAACAATCCCATTTTTCTCACTGATATTAACAATTAAAAATCCACTTAAAGCAAATCATGACAAAGTCTCTGAGCCATACTAATCCACCTTCTCTATGCAAATACAATCTCTAGTTCTCCTCTATTAAAACAGCAGTAAGTAGAATGTCATACAAAACTATTAAAACTGTTTATGATTACATTGCAAATGGTCATTTCTATAATCAAAACAGTAAAAATAAATGTAATATGATAAAACATAAAACTACATTAAAGTTGCTTTCGATGGATAACTGGTACTGACAAATGAGGCAAAAATATTTGGTTCACAATTGCTTTCCTTATCATCTATATTGAGTATTATGAGCCATGAAGACTTTTTACAATATAAGTGACTAAACAGCGAAGGTTCTGAACGATGGTCAATTAGTATGAGCATATCAGAGATCATCTTTGTAGTACAAGCAGACTGCACCTTTTTCTTACCTGGCTCTTTGTTGCTGCAACCTTAGCAAATAATGCTTGGGACACTTTGGCCCTCTTCATTTCCTGCTGAATCTCATCGTAAATGGAAGCATTAATATTAAGTGCACAGCCTTCCGATTTACCATTCCATTCAGTTGTAATGGAGGACGTTTTGACCTAGATAAAGGTTTAATCTCAGTTAATAATATACTATAAGAAAGAAGTATAAACACAAAGGGAATATCTCCCTGCTGATAATGCGTTAATGGGATTCTTCCATTAATATAAAATACACATAACTTACAAAAAGTACAAGCTTGAGTGAATTATGGTGGTTATCTGGAACTTAGCACTACCAGCACTTTTCTTCCCAAAGTCTGTGGGAGAGGACAATTCCTAAATACGTTTAAGTACATTCAGAATGAGACATCACTTCCCAAAATATGATTTGCAAGTGTCTACAATGCTTTCTGTAATTTGCTGATTACCAATTAATTATTGGTATACTGTGCTGTGAAACTTGTTTACCCTCACAGAATTAAAGGATACTTTGCACTCATATGTTGCCAAATTGAAATGCATTTATTTACTGAAGTTCTCATGGTGTTTTGCTGCTTAAGCATTGACACTGCTGCCACTGAAATTATCAGGTAATGCTCTGAAAGCTAAAACTAGGGCAGGGCATTGCTTCTAATTAATAATTACAAGATTAAGATAAAGTAAAGGATCAAAATCTTCTTTATAACATTTAAGATGAGGTACTACAGAAAACAACGCAGCAGGTAACATTATAAAAAAAAAATAAGATTTTTTAAAATTAAAATAAGAAGGCTCCAGAACACTGATGCAAGAATCAAGAACATTTTATAAGAATATCAAAAATCTTCCCCTTCCTCTTCCATTAAACAAATCTTTAGGCACCTGAAGAAATAATCACAGTCTGGTGCGCACTATAAGTATCAGTGAAATAAATGTGCCCAAGATGTTACTTAACAATTACCAATACTCTTACTTATTGCCACATTGGCAATTTTGTTGCCCTTTTACTTCCTCTGAACATGATGAGCCCAGGCCAGGACTTTCTGCATGCTGCCATTCTCTGAAAACTTGTGTATGGCCACATTTATTTCTTAGTCTTGAAAGTGGGAGTTAGCAGGTAACTTGACCAGGTAGATCCTGTCCCATTCATATCCCTGTATCTTGAATAGGGACCAATGCAGAGTATTCAGGAACAGGAACCCAGGTTTATTTTTTGATGTTTAATGAACGGGAATGAGATCAACTCCAGCACTTCCATCACCTCTCAGTCATCTAAACTTCAATAAGTACTGGTTCAACCCGCTCAATCCTTTCTCGTAAAACAACCTCTTCCTTCCAGAAATCAGTCTCTCAAATTTTATCTAAATTGCTACCAATGTATCAATAGAGTCATAGTGAGCTACAGCACGGAATAAAGCCCTTTGGCTCACTGCATTAGCGACAGTAAAAAACAACCATGTATTTCAACCTGATTTTCCAGAACTTGGCCCATAGCCTTGTATGCCTTAGCATTTCAAGTGTACATCTAAATAACTCTTAAATCTTGCGAGGGTTCCTGCGTCTTACTATCCTTACTGGCAGTGAGTTCCAGATTCTCACCACGCTCTGGATAAAAATGTTTCTCCTCATATCCCCTCTAAAACTTCTGCTCCTTGCCTTAAATATTTGCCCCCATCACTGATCCCTTCATCAAGGGGCAATGTTTCTTCCTGTCTTCTCTACCAATGCCTCTCATAATGTACTCTGTTCTGAGAAAATCAACACCAATTTGTCCAATTTCTCTTCATAAACGAAACTGTCCAGCCCAGGTAACATCCTAGTAAATCTCCTCTGCATCATCTCCAGTGCTAACACATCCCTCCTATAATGTAGATTCCAGAACTGCATCCAATAATCCAGATAAGATATACTAATAAGTATATCCCTTTTGAAGTAAGGAGCCTAAAACTGTACAGAGCACTCAAGGTATGATCTCACCAATGCTATTTAGAGCTGTAGCAAGGCGTACCTAGATTTATCCTTCATTCCCTTGTAATAAAAAGCCAATATTCCATTTGACTTTATAATTACTTGCTTTACATGCATGTTAACATTTCTGATTCATGTACAGAGACACCAAGAATCCCCTGTATTTCAGAATTCTGCAGCTCTTCTCATTTAAATATCATTTTGTTTTTCTATTCCTGTCAAAGTAGAAAATGTCACATTTTTCCACATTACACTCAATCTGCCACTATCTATCTGCTCACTTACCTATCTATATCTCTTTGTGTCCTCCCCACAACTTGCTTTTCTGTCTTTGCATCATCAGCAAATTTGGCTACAAGAGTCTATTCCTTCATGCAATCAGTAATACATTTCCTAACTAGTTGAAGCCGATCCTTGTGGCATGCCATTAATTAGAGTTTGCCAACCTGAAAGCAATCCATTTATCCCAACTCTCTGTTTCCTATTAGTTAACCAATCCTCTATCCATAATAAAATATCACCCTCAACACCATGAGCTCTTATCTTGTGCAGCAACCTTTTTATGTGGCAGTTTATCAAATGTCATCTACAATGCAGCTGTCCCTCCATCCAAGTTACAAAAATAGATCCCTATAGCACAGATGCCAAAAATAATTTCATTTATAACAAATGGTTGCTTAAACATAAATGATAATGTGAATATTATTAACAATCTAGAATTGTTTTCATCACAGATATTATAGAGTGAAAATTTACAGTGACTGTAAACATTACAAATGGCATGCCAACATTATAAAAAACACCTTTTAAAGTTTCAATTATTTAAGTACCATTCTGTGCTGATCGTAATGAGTGTTAGCGTTGCGAAGTGGAGCACCTTCACTCTTTTAGGCACCCAGAACTCAAAAAAAGAGGTGTAGCATGATCAGGTGCAGATTAAAAATACTTTTTTTTTCTGTCTCCACAACTGTCTTACACCCAATCTCAGAATCCTAGACACAGCACTGTGATTTTGTCCCATTTCAACTCTGAATAGATTAGTTTTATTCAGGGCTTGAAATTACACTATGAAAATATCAGCAGACAAACACTGAGTCTGTTAACATGAAATTCTATTTTCTTCAATTTTATAGGGGAATTACATTGTGTTTCTAAACACATTGCCACTTTGATTTAAAGTCTTGGTGTCAACTGTACTACAGCTTGTGGGTAGTTATGTGCTACAGATCTACGTTTACTATTAACTGGGCTGAGACTATTCAAGTTAATTTTACTGAAGGAGCTTGTGGCCAGCAGATAAAGGAAACCTTTGTTCCATGAATGTCTGATTCAGAAATGAAAGGATTTTTTTGAAATTATGGCTCCAAAGTGATCATTTTTCAATTTGCTCATTCACCAAAACGCACTACAGCGTAAACCTTTTGTGTCTCCACCACCATACAGAGCCTTCCGCACAGAGCACGGACTAAAGTATCAAGAAGGAGATGAGCACACCTGATCTATACCATTCCTGATTATTCAGGCACTGAAATGAATCGCTGAAAAATTGAAAGCACTGCATATGAGGCACACTGACCTCCACGCCTAATTTACAAATTCATTTTCTGGTCAAACAAGGCCACGGGGAGAAAAGGATCACAAAACGCATTGGCAATTTCCTTTTACAAAAAGTGGGATGTTTTAGTCTTTTGAGCATTTTTCTTTCAAATTCATCAAATCGAGCAGTATTCCACATCGACATAAATAATTATTATTAAGTATTCTATTCTTCAGAGATTATAAAATTGAATAATCCGGGCAATACACTGAGCCATAATATTATTTTCATAACACTGTTCAATAGAAAGGCTGCTCTTGAAGAAAAAGATCAGAGTAGAATTTCAAGACCAGCTAAAAAAATACACAAAATTGGATTTTTTGTTTGATGATTACCTGTTGGGTACGGTTAGGAGAACTTATCAAAGGTGTAGTTCCAATCCCTGAGGCTGCATTGAGACTTCTCTCCCTTTCATCCTGGTAAATACGGTCCCTTTCTGCTTCTGGCAGGTTTAGAAAATTCTGCATTGCCCTCAAGTTGACTAGCAAAGATTGTGAGGCAGTCTTTGGGTCCTCTTCTTTTCTGAGAATTTCAGACAATAGACCCTGTGTAAAAGAATAAGCAGAAACAACATAGTACTATTTTTGTGAACTGAACTTGACCAGGAACTGCTAATTATTCTCTCACTGGTGTGCTGGAGTTTCAGCAAGAACGTTCAATGGTAATAAGAATACATTAATGCTCAATTAGATTCTTGAAAAAAAGCCACAATTGTAAGTCGAATGTTATAACTGTCCTCTCTAGCAGTATACTGACATTCATGACATAAACCAGAATATCGAAGAACACTATGTAGATCTTTAATGAGGCATATAGAGACAAAATTTACAATTGCACAATTGTGGACAGTTAAGTAGGAATGATATTGCAGAAATAGTGGGTGAACAATTTTGTAGTCTATACAATCACAGGAATGTTACAGTCACAATAAGCATACAGTTGTTGAACTCTCAGCACATTTTTGTCTAAAAAAATTCTTATTAACAATTTTGAAACAGTAAAGCTACCTCCAGAAAGCATTTTAAAATTGAAATATATCCAAACAAAAAATGTTGGGAAAAAGCAAAAATAAAGTCAAAAGAAGACAAAATTGCACAGACCTTATGACTATGGAGCATTCACTATGTAAATGTTAATGTGCATTTCGTTGCCATCTGTTAACAGATGTTGTGCTAGCTGTAAAAATACCCACACACGAAAATGAATACAACTTATACTGGGTTAATATATATAAATGTTTGTAAACATCAGCTTTTGATGTTACACAAATCAGTTGTTCTGATTGATTTTAACACTGAAATAAATATTTTTAGATCTTTCTTTCTCAGAGAATATTTGTATCATTTATACTTCTATAAACACATCAACTTTACTCATGCACAGGTAACATATTGTTGCAAAGTGATGCCAAGCTAATGTTAGAATACACTTCAATGACTCCTAAGCAGATGCCAAATAAACCATAGAGTACTGATTCTGCAAAAAATAAGATTTGCTCCCTACAGACCTGACTGTGCATAAAATGGCTGACTACCTTTAATGTTCACTTTGGATCAGTCACTGTGCTTTTAACCACTTTATGGATGGCTGCAGCTGTACATATGACCATAATCAGATTTACAATAACAGAAGGGTGAAGCACAGAATTTAGAGTAGTAACCCCAAGTTATTAAAAATACAATTCATGCCCATTTGTTGCCTTGTCAATTGTAATAATTTAAAAATGTATCAGTAGTGATTTCTTTGTGCATTCTGACTGATTTACAATTGAAGTAAAGACAGTACACACAGTGCAATCAAATTTAAATTGAAAAAAATTCTTCACAAATTCAAATATCGGATAAGTTGTACTCCATTGTGTATCAAAATAGCTGCACATTACCTATTCTCCTGCCTAGGGACAGGGCCACTACTCACTACTCCAATTGCTGTGGACTTGCATTTTCCTTTTCAGTGACTCATAGAAGTTACTCATTTTCAATTTCAAGTGGTCTAACATCATCATTCTCTTTCTTCCTCTTGGTCTACATCTTTCTAGCCTTCCTTCAATTACATACAAACATACAAATAGATAATTACCTCCTTCAGTATCACATGCCTTAGAAAATGATTAATCTAACTTGTCTTTTTATGAGGTTATTCACTTACAAACTTTTCTCCTTTACCATTCAGAGAACTCTTCCAAGGCTGTTGTGTTTTCTTCAACAAATTCTCTACATTCTGTTCCAGAATAACATTTTGCAACTCTCTCGACTTTCTCTCCACTTTTCTCAATGTCCACATTTCAAACTTGTATAAGACACTCTAATTCACTATTTGATCCTTCCTTCCTTAAGATCTCTTTTCATTCTTCATATTTGGAGACTGCATTCTTTGACATGGTCACACTAGGTCTGATTTCTTTACAGCATCTTCTAAGAAGGGAGACTGACCAGGTAAGTATGAAATGATGGGAAGAGCAGAATAACGAATTGGAGCAATGGCATAAAAGAAAGAATGGATAATCTCAATGAGAAAATAAAGAATAGACTGAAGGAAGGAGGTAAGCAAACACAAAGAGGAATTGATAGAGTTATCAACATTTTCTAAACAACCTGTTCAGAGATGTTATTATCCACCTGTGGAACAGTTGGGATTCGAACCCAGGCCTCCTGGCCCAGAGGTGGGGACACTACCACTGCATCATAAACCCGCAGAAGAATTCTATGCTTTTTACGTAATCCGAGGAGTAAAGAACAGATAGAAAAAGCACATTGAAGACCAGTGAGTGTCTTTGGCTGAGCATGCCACTCTCTTCCAATGCCTCTCCCACATGGTCCTGGGCTGCACTCATATGTTTTCATTCCTATCTCTCTAATCTTAACCAAAGAATCACTTCTAGTGTCTTTCACTTCCTGCATCAGCACAGAAATCTCTGGAGTCCCCAAAGGTCAATCCTTGACTCCATCCAGTTTTTTGATCCACATGCTGCATCTTGGTAACATCTTCCACAGACATGTGTTAGTTTTCACATGTAGGCTACTGATATCCAGTCAGTTGCTCTCATCATACCTCTCTCAACATCTCCACTGTTGCTAAATTATTAGACAATTTATCTGACATCCACTGCTGGACACACAGAAATTTCTTCCAATTAAAGACAAGAAACACTGAAGCCATTGTTTTTGAACCCTGATTCAAACTTTGTTCCCAGCTTCTGACTACAGTTTTCTTCCTGGCAACAGTCTAAGATTAAGCCAGTTTGTTCACAATCTTGGTGTTAGATTCAAGAACAGCTTCTTCCCTGCTGTTATTAGATTCCTGAATGGACCTCTCAAATTTTAAATTTGACGTTGATCTCACTCTTTGTGCACCTTTTCTGCAGCTATAACATTGTATTCTTTATTCTGTTCCATTACCCCAGTACATTTTGTATGATATGATCTGCCTGTACTGCACGCAACACACAAAACTTTTCATGGTATCTCCGTATATGAGACAATAATAAATTAAATCAAATCAAATCAACAACATTTGGCCCCAGATGAGAATTAGACCACATATTCGCACCATCTGCCTATTTCCACATCTGTAACAATACCCAACTTTGCCCGTGTTTCAGGTTTTGCTAAAACTCCCACCAATGCCTTTGTTACCCGATCACAACAAGGCACTCTTGGCTATCTCCCACATTTACCTTTAGCAAAATCAAGGCCATTCAAAGCACCACTGCATGCGTCTTTACGCACAGCAAGTCACGTTCCCTTATCTCACCACACTCACTGATCTACATTAGCCCCCATGCAAGCAATGTCTTGATTTTAAAATTTTCATCTTCATTTTCAATTTTCTCCGTGGCCTTGACTCTCCTTGTCTCAGTAATCTCCAACTCCGCACCTATCTGAGATACTGTGCTGTCAAATTTTGTCTTTCATGTAGTCTTAATCGTAATTACATTACTATTGGTGGCCATGCTTTAAATGCCTAGACGAGGTCTTCCCATACGGCATCTCTCCTTCTCCCTACCACACTTGCCTAATTTAGGGCACTTCTTAAAACCTACCTTTTTGCCAAGCATTTGGTCAATTGCCTTGGAACATTTCATTATGTTAAAGGTTCCATGTAAGTAGAAGTTGTTGTTTCTATTTTATGACAAAGATGGCAAGCCAACTGATTTAGAACTGGGGATAGAAGAGATTTGCCAGAGTGATTCAGGATCTCCTGATCTTCCTCCACAGAATAAATGAAGACAGGAAAAGTAAAGGGATTTGATTGAATCATCAAAGAAATAATAAAACAGCTTGGAGAAAAGGCAACAGAAGAACTGATCAACTTGTCTAAGGAGATATACAATATGGAGAATGGTGGAATATTTTATGAGAATCTCAATGATACCATTGGAGGAAAATGCAAACATGAAAAAAATTGTGAAATGCAATGCACCCTAGTTTTGATTTTATATGCACCCAAGCTAACGTTAAAAGAGCCTAGCAGGTAGATTGTAAACTGAAGGAAATCATGACAATGGCTGTGATCAATTCAGATTCAGGAAAGGACATGAACTGAACAGGCTATAGAAATAATGGCAGTGTAAAGGAAAAGAAGCATAGAACACCTTCAAGAATTGTACGTCTACTTTGTGGATTGAGAATGTTTTTCATAAGGTAATCTGGCAAAAAAGTGAATACAAACTTCATTTTCAAAGAGTTTGACATATAATATATACATACATATATGTATATGTTTTTTGTCTTGACAGTTTTCAACTTTTTGATGTCACATAAATTGGGCAAACTTATAAATTATTCTTTATTAATTTAGTGAATTATTGTTAAAGCCTTAACACCAAAATAACTTCTGCCCTGATTTCCTACCATTTCTACTTTACAGCTGGCAATACCATTGTTGGAATGTTTTCCGGATGTACTGTCTGGTAATTTCAGTGCTGTGAGGAGTGCATATTTAGTTGGAATTGTCACACAGACTTTATTCACTACAGAAATGAAACATTTCATAATATGCCATGACAATATTATACCATTATGATCAGTGTATCAGTTCCAGACATTACTGTACAATGGTAATAAACAAAATTTTTCATATTGTTATATGGTATGCTATTCAAAACCATCACCATCAATTAGGTTCACCATTAACAAGAGTCCCAACCATTATGCTCAAATATCTATTTTAAAACAATTTTAATCATACATCTAAACTAAGCACATCATTCATTAAGTCAGTTGTATTATAAAATAAATCACAGGCTAATATCCAAGTGCTTATATAAATCAATGACTTTCCTACGAGGATAGACTATTTCCATTTCACAAATTTAAAAAATTTACTGAATAAATTGTTAACTATGCACAACACATTAAATATACTTTGCAAATGTTGAAAGTACTCTTGGCCACTATTCCAAAATGATTTAGTGACGATATGGTTAATATAACGTAATAAGCTTAAACCTGTGTGAAGTAAAATGTAGTGTTTGGGATCATTGGCTGGAATTATGCCATTTTGAGGTGGAAAACTTCCTGACACAGCAGACCTGACTTCATTG